CTGGCCCACCCCGGCAGCCCCCCATTTGCTCTGCCCCACGTGCTTCCTGGAATCAGCCCCTGATCAGTTTCAGCAGCGGCTGAATCAGGACACCTGGGACAGAGCAACTCTGCCTCTGGCTTCCTGGAGTCAGCCACTGATCAGTATCAGCAGCGGCTGACTTAGGGACGCCTGGGGCAGAGCAGCTGGGGTGCTGCAGGGTTGGTCCAGTAGCGCCGCTCCTCAGCGCTGTGGGACCAACCCGGCAGCCCCCCGGCTGCTCTGCCCCAGGCGTCCGGATTCAGCCTGCTGGTGAAACTGACAGCGCTGGTCAGTTTCAGAAGCGGCTGAATCTGGACACCAGTTCCGACTTACATACAGATTCAACTTAAGAACAAACCTACAGTCCCTATCTTGTACGTAACCCGGGGACTGCCTATATTTATCGGTACTGAAAGCAAGCTGCCTTGCACTAGAATGCAAGTACATAATGAACAGTGGAGAGAGGGAAATGCTTTTGATTACAGTGTTACCTGTTTCAAGATGACTCTAGTTTTCATCTGTTCATTTCATACGACACAAATAGTGCCACAGATTAGCACTATGAATTCTCAAACTCTCGGAGCTGGTCTGCCTCTCTGTGAGCCAGGTCTGGCTGGAAAGGTTGGGGCTTTCTTCACCTCCCCCCCCCCACCTCATGCCCTCTGAGCCAGAAGCTGGAGCTTGGGCTCCAGCCTTGCAGCTGAGAAGGCTCCCCATAGGAGGAAGATGGCAGTGAAGTGATGTGCTGTCTGGAGGCTTTCCCCGCTGCAAGGGGGTACAAAGCCAGGTAAGCCTCCCTCCTCATGCCCAGACAACCACATCCCAATCCCCCTCACTCACACCTCTCCTCCCAACAAGACTCCGCAATTCTAGCTTGCTCCTGCTGCTGCACTCTTCCTCCGGTCAGAAACCCTACCCTCAGTCTACTGCTACACCCTTCCTGCTAGTCAGATACCCTCCCTCCAGGTCAGACACCTTACCCTAGCCTGCTCCTACATCCTCCCTCTTGACCAGACACCCTACTACCTCTGGATGAGAGGTATGGTGCCTGTTATTGCACCATACCTCTCATCCAGAGTTCACAACTTCTCCCCCTTAGGTACTCCCACCCTCCCAGATCCTGCACCCCCATCCCTATCCCACTTGCTGGCAGCCCTGTCCCACATACTGAACCCATTTCTGTCCCCACTCCAGAGCCTAAGGGGTTCATAAAATCCACTGATTCCAGAACCCCAGGAAAGTAAATCTGGCCTATGGGAAGTCCTGAACATCAGTCCTCCTTGTCCCTTTCCCTCTCCCTGTGGGGCTGGAGTGCCAGAGAAGTGTGTCTCAGTTGGGGGCCACATCAGTGAGGGTTGGTGGTTTTTGGAGTTTTTCTGCTTCTCACTTGTATGGTTCTGAACTGACTTTTCAGTGGGTCAGAGCCCTACCCTAAAAAAGGTTCCCCACCCTCCCATAAATAAAGAAAACATTGAAACCTTTTGTGTTGGACATAAGTTAATATTTTACTTTCTTTAAAATGAAGTTTGATAAACTAACATGAGAAATTTAAAACCCTTTATCTGTTTAATATTTTAAATTAAACCATTCTCCATAGCTGCAGCACTAGCAAAATGACTCAGGCAGATCTATGTAATTAGCAATGAGTTTCCATTAGCAACTGGTGATCCATGGAGAGGTGTACGTTGAGACAGGTGATCCATAGGCCAAAAAATTTGAGAACCACTGTATTAATGTTATGACATTCCAGCTACACTCTTCAAATTCCCATGCAATCAGTTCACTTGAAGCAGAGAAAGCCTTTGACAGACTCAACTGGAAAGATATGTTTCTTACCCTGGATAAATTTGTGTTGGGGAAATGCTTTATTTCATGGATCAAGCAGTTATACTCCAATCCCAATTCTTATATCCTATTAAATAGCACAATATCCCCTCTCTTTGATATGCTACAGGCAACTAAACAATTCACCCTCTTCTCTCCATATTCAATCTAATATTAGAACCATATGTGGAATGAATTAGGGAACCAAGGGTTTCAAGGGATCAAATCAGAGCCTCGAGAGATAAAAATCCTTCAGCATGTAGACTACATCCTCCTATTTATTAAAAATCCAAATCAAGCAAATCCAAATAGTGTACAAACAATAGACTAGTCAAGTACTCGACTACCCAATAAGCACAGGGTTATCGAGTAGTCGAGTGAGTACTCGACTAGTCACTTCCCCCCATACACTGCCTCTATATCAGAGGCAGCAAGGGGTGGGGCGAGCAGAAGTGGTGCTAGTGGGAGCTGGCTTAAAAGCTGGTTCCCCCTCAGAACCATCTCCATGGTGCGGGAGGGGACAGGGGAGGCAGAGCTGCAGCAGTTCAGTCTTGGCTTGCGCCACCATGGGCGCTTACCCCACTGCGGCAGGCTCTTTAAAAAGTGCAGAGTAGCAGCGGGAGCATCCCTCCCCATCAACTAATCAAGTAAATGATG